AAACCCTTCCCTTTTTTTTTTTTTTTACTTTTTTTGGTCCATTTGGAAAGTGTTCTATGACTGTTTGGAGAGTCTAGAATCTAGATGGCGACTCCTTTGTGGAATTGATTGACATTGAAAGTATACAGATAAGTATGTTATTGCTCAGATTTTTATTTTTTTTTTGAAGGGTATTGAGTTATCTTTTATTCATTTATTATTATTATTACTTTTTATTTTATTAATATTTTTTAATTTTTTTTATTTTATTTATCAAGTTATAATGAAAAATGTTAATATTGTTTAAACCTGTATGACAATGTATGACAAATAAAATTGTTGTTCAAAACTATATATAATGTATTTGTATGAGTGTGTGTGTGTGTGTGTGTATATATATATATATATAAATATATATATATATAATTAATTCAAGAAAATAAAAAAATTACTTTTCAGTTCAGAAGACCGACGTTTAAAATAAATAATCATTAAAATAAATAAATTTTAAAAAAATAATAATGTCACCGGCGTTTCCGTTAAACTAAAAAATAATTCGCTCTATGCCGCAATGAATGCGAACATTGTGAAAATAGTAAATACACGCACGCGACAGTACCTGTTGGATTTACAGGGAAGCGCAAACCTGGGGAAAACACCGGAAACAAGAAAACAGCTAAACAACCAGAAAAGCGGAAACACAAGGAACTTCTCTGGAATTTCTCTTTGGGTGTAACTTTTGCCCTCAGACCGGTAGTTGAGTCTCACATCGGGGCCTCGGGAAACGATGACTGGCGAGGAATGAACGCGACTCCCCGCGCGGCGCGGCTAACGTTACGGTACCGCAGAAAAATAAGCGTATCGTTTGAGCGGCTGCTGACTTCAAAGGAGGGATTTCGCCTCGCTGACCGGGAATAATGGTTGTGGAGTGTATACAAGTGTCACAGGTTGAGGGAAGCTAACAGGCTATTCAGCCACACCCTCCCGCCGCTTCCTGATACGCAAGATGTAGCGGGAGACTACAACCGACGCGCGAGAGTCTCAACAGCGAACGGAGTTCGGAAGCAGCGTTAAAACTTTCAGCCGAGCGTTAAAAGAATGGCAAGCAAAAGCGAAACTATCTGCCACTGGACATCCGTTGCTTTCCTGCTGGAGAGGGCGTATGGACAATAGATATGCATAAGGAACTGAGTTTGCCCGCAGAACCTGGATCGTGTACGAAAAAGAAACGGCTGAAAGTCGTTCGGGAACTTTGTATGAATTTTCGAGGAGTCGTGGGATGATGGTGCAGTGGCGGCGGGGCGCACGCGCGTCTCCGCTTCGGTCGGCGGGTCAGCACGACGGTCAATATATCAGCAGCAGCAGCAGCAGCACACCGCAGCAGCACATGTACTTAAATGCATGCAATGTGCATGACACGAAGAAAACCTGAAATGACAGATTCCGCACAGCTAAAGTAGCGATTCTGGAAGTCAATCTGCACTTTGCCTTCATCTGGGCATCTTCTTGTACATGGCACTGCAGTAGCCTTTTTTCTTCTTCTTCTTTTTAAAGAGTTTTGGTTTCTTTGCATTGTTGGAGCAACATTGACAACCTGTGAAACTGATCAGACTGTAGCCTACCTTATCAGAGGTAGTTGTGAATTCTGTTTTATTTTCATTTTTCTCATTATGCACACCTTAAAATCAGATTATTTAATCATTGGACAACTCTGAGTTTTTCATTTGAAAGGATATTTAATTACAGCTCTCGTCAGCCTCTGTTTGCCCGCGTTGTATTTTTAAAAATACCCAAATATTTTTCTAAAGTACTTCCCTTATTCGTGCATTGAGTGAAGTTTCATATTATTTTGAGAAATCAAAGCTGAGTGGACTTTTTCTGAAGGACATTATTGACTTTTTGGCCAGTTTCACTCTCCCTGAGAAGGTGTGGGAATCTTTTTTTTTACTGAAGAAAATGACATAACATTTGCGCACAAGAGAACGTATGTTGTGATCTTTATTTTGAACATTAGTGCGACCACACTACTATGGCTAGTAGTGGCTCGGGAAAATTAGATAGTGAGGTTTCTACCAACGTCCTTAGCGGCAGCTTGCAACAAAGGAAAAGACTTTCATCCATCTGTGACGCATGCAAGAGCAAAATGCAGCTGGTGGCGGACCTGCTCCTGCTGTCCAGCGAGACCAGGCCGGTGGTGAACACCGTTGGCATGCCTGTAGCAGAGACGTTCGAGAAATGTCGCGACACGGTGATCGCCCGAACCAAGGAGCTGTCGATTATCGTTCACGATATCCA